CCCGTCAAGCAAAGCGTATGTCTAGGGAATGGATATATTTCATATCCGGGGGCGTTCTCCAGGTTCACGCGGCTGGGGCTTACAAGTCCAATCCTCGTAAGATTCACGTAGAAGTGGACCCGCATCTAATGCGATTATACTCCATGTGCTTCCACCTTTCGTGGAATTCAGCGTGGATCCACCGCTAGTGGAATTCTATTCGGGGTGAAGCCACGCTGCGCGCAATGCAAGTACCCGTGACTCTGTTCATGCCAGGATCCCAGTAGAGGTGGGTCCACCTCTCGTGGGTGGATCCACTTTTAGTCGGATTCCATTTGCAATGGGTCCACCCCGGATGAGATTCTGTGCGATGTGGCGCCGCGTGGCTTAGCAGGCGTCGCGTGGCCCAGCAGGTTATCGAGGTGCTGGCAAACTTAGCAAGGCTGGCAGGTGTTAGCAAATGTTGGCCAGTCTCAGCAGGGCCTATCAGGGGCTGCCAGGGCTTGATCGGGCATGGCAGGGCTTATCTGGGCCTCGCAGGTGGCATTCAGAACTTATCGGGGCTTTGCAAAGGGCCGTGGGCCTTAGCAGCGCTTGCAGGTTTCGGCCGGGCCTGGCAGGGCTTGCAGGGGCCAGCAGGGCATAGCGCGGCATCTCCGCGGCCGGGCAGGTGGGCCCGGGGATCTTGGATTCTACTAGAGGCGATTCCATTCCCAATAGGCAATTGCAGGTGGATCCTCCTCTAGTATCGTGATATCCAGTTGGCTTCATCATTGATCGGTTTCTATTGGAGGTGGGCCCACTTCTAATGAGGTTCTAGCAAAGGTAGGCCCATCTTTAGTGGATGTTTGTTTGTGCGCGGGGCTCCATCTTTAACATAATCCCTTGAGAGGTGGACCCACCGCTAATAGGATTATGATACATGTGAGTCCTTCGTTGATCGTATTTTCCTTAAGGCTTGCTTTCTAAATGTTGAGAGTTTGTTAGAGGTGGACCCACCGTTAATATGATTATATGAGAGATGGGCCTTTCCTGGCCGGATTAGATTAGAGGTGTCTCCATCCCTGATCTGATTATATTGCAGGTGGCTCCAACCTTGGTAGAATTCGGTTAGAAGCGAGGCCGCTTTTTGGTTATAACACAAATGGCTCTATCTTTGTACGGACTTCATTCGAGGTGGCGTCATACCTGATGCGCGTCGTTTTAAGGAGGGCCCTTCCCTATCAGGACGCTGTCGGAGGTTGTTCTTTCCCTAAAAGGATTGCATTGGAAAGTGCGACACCACCAGTGGGATTATGTTAGAGGTGGCTCTACCTTTAACCGGCTATTAGTAGAAGTTACCCCACCCGCAATGTAATTGAATCCGAGGTATATCCATCTTTCAGGTGGCCCCATCCTTGATATGATTCTGGTAGAAGTCGCTCCACATCTACGAGGGTTCTAGTAGAGGTCTACCTAATCTGAATTTAATAGAAAACTGTATTAAGGTGGGGTGGTTCCTTATGGACTCTATCAGAGGTGGCCCCATCCCCACTGGGGTTCCATTTGCGGGGGATCCCAATCGCACAGGGTCTTATTAGAGGTGACTCCATCCCTGACGGGGTTGTAACAGAGGTGGCTCCACCTTTTTTTTGGATTGTATTAGCGGTGGATCAACCTCTAGTCGAATTATGTTACAGGTGGCTCCATCCCGAACAGGATCCCAGTAGAGGTGGATCCACCTCTGATAGGGTTTCCTTAGCGGTGGATCCTTCCGTGATAAGCGTTTAGCACGGATGCTTCTATCCTTCCTACGAATCTGTTAGAGGTGGACCCACCATTCGTATGATTCTCTTAGAGGTGGGCCCATCCATCTTGAGAGAGAGAGAGAGAGAGAGAGAGAGAGCGAGAGAGAGAAAAAGAAAGAGATATATAGAGAGAGAGAGAGAGATGAGAGAGATTGAGAGAGGAGAGAAGAGAGAGAGAGAGGAAGAGAGAGAGAGAGAGAGAGAGAGAGAGAGAGACGAGAGAGGAGAGGAGAGAGAGAAAGAGAGTGAGAGAGAGAGAGAAAAAAAAGCGATGAGAGAGAGAGAGACAAATTATATATAGATACATAACCACATAATATGATAAAACCCCCAATTAGTCCCACATTTCCCCTCCGCGGGGGGGTAGCAGCGTGGGCTGGGCTCGCACTGCTGGCAGCCCGCGGCTGCAGCGCCCCCCCCCAAAGGGGGCAGCGCCCCCCCCCCGGGCCCAATGGACACCCGCAGCGCGGAGTGCGCCCGACATTGGGGGCGACCCCGTGCGCGGAAAGGCCCAGTCTGCCACCCTTTCTCTTCCACCTCCCCCCGCCGCCCTCGGCCCCCCTCTTCCCCCTCCCCCTTTCTCCTTTATCGGCCTTTCTGTGGTTGTGTGTGGGGGGGCCTGTTCCTGCGCCCCCCGGCGGACGCCGCCCTGGCACCGACGTTCGGGGCGTGGTGCTTCGTCGGTCCGGCTGGTGGCGTCGGCACCACGTCCGTCTTTGGCGCGTGTTGCGTTCCCCCCGGCAACGCATCAGTTTGCGGCCGCCTCTCAGCACCGCGGCAGGGCTCTAGCAGCATTGGCTGGGAGCTCTGGCGGCCGCACCCCTCCGGGCACGGATCTTCCCGCGTTTGCCGGCCCGCCCGCGGCCAAGCCCTGCGCCCAGGGTCGACGCCGGACTCCTGGCTCCTGGGCGTCCGCCTGTGTGGGCTCGCTCTCGTCGTGTGGCCCAGCCGCCGCCCGCTGGTTTAGCCGCCCTGTCCCCGCGCCCCAGCAGACGGGGCTTGGGGATGTGGCTCCCCGGCTGGTAGCATCGGCAGCCATGCAGTCTCTGGCACATGCTGCTTCCCCCTCTGGCAGCGCAGCAGTCTCACTGTCAGTTTCTCAGCAGCACAGCGGGGCCTTTGCAGCACTTTGCTGCTGCGAGCCATCGCGGCCCTCCCCCCTGTGGGCGTGGGCCTTCTCGCCGGGCTGCCGCCGAACACCTGGATGCTGCCCGCCCGTGTGGGTTCGCTCGTCGCTCCCTCATCCAGTGCTAGTGCGACTTGGCTCGCTCTCGCACTGCAGCCTGCACATCAGCCCCTGGGTGTGGCCGCGACGCCACCCCGCGTCCACTGCCAGGCTGCGTCAGCGCAGGCAGGCTGCCTGGCCACTCCAGTCGATGTCCATCGCGCTGTGAGTGATCCTGTCCTCTTCCTCCCCCCCGCGGCCGTGCCCCGCCCGTGCCATCTTCTCTTGCAGCCGGCGAGTTCGTGCTTGCCATCGCTTGGCCCACTAGAGCGCGCGTGCGGATCGCCAGTGCTGCGCTGCGACGGAAAAGTGTTTTTGTTGGAGGCCCTTTTTTCCCTTCTCCCGCCTTCCTCTTTCGTGCTTCGGCTCGGCCCTTTTCGTCCTCCCCCTTGCGACCCCTCGCCTCCGTATCGTCGTCTGCCCCCGCCGCCCGGCGCCACGGGCCCGACCATCGAGGTCGCCAGGCTCGGTAGTTTGATCACCCTCTCCCAGGCCGAATGGCCTTGGGGGGGATGGCCGCGTCGGCGCGACACCAGGACAGGACGAGAAGTGAAAGAGAGAGAGAGGGAGAAATAAAGAGAACAGAGAGGAAACCATATCGCCTCGGACGTGTCATTGCCATGCAGCTTGTACCGAGTGGAAGTCACAGGTCGGGGTCCCACTCGCCACCGAGGCAGCCGCGGGCACCCTCCGTGTCCGAGAAGGAGGATGGCGTGGCAGGCCATCCCGTGGGCGCAGGTGATGATGGCGACTCCTTCCACCACGAGGCGGAGGAGTTCCCTGCTGCAGGCCCTGTGAACAAGGAGGAGTTCAGCGACCCTGGCTTCAAGGAAGGCGAAGAGGAGGAACCTGTCGTTGAGCCACGTGGGGCTAGCGACGCTTGCCGCCAGGAGATGTCGGAGGTGAGCAGCGTGACGTCGCCGACATCGCCGCCCAGCCTCCCCAGCCCCGCCTCCAGCAACTCTGGGCAGGCAGGCAGGCGTGGCCCCACTGCTAGCCCAGCCCGCTGGACCTCTTCTGGGACGGGCCTCCCGGCAGCGCTGGCAGTGGCGGCATGGGGCGGCGGTGTGCAGCTTTCTGGGTTCGCAGAGCGACGAGGCGTAACCCTGCGGGTGGCCAAGGTGCTCCAGCTGGTAGATCCAGGCCCCGCAGCCCGCCGGGGCCTGGCGGGCCCAGGATGCGGGAGGGAGCGTGGGAACGGCGTGAGGGGCTGCACCTGGCGCCAGAGCAAAGCTGGGCCACCAGTGGCAGTCGGCCTGGCCCTGCCTCTTCTGCAGGATGGGCGGGGCTCTCCGGCAGAGCAGCAGGGCCAGACGTGGTCAAGCGGCTCCAGCTGCGGTGCCCTGGACCGCTCCCGCCCCAGGGAGCCTCCTCTTGCTGGGCATCGGAAGAGAAGGGCAGGGCCTCAGCAAGTTCTTGGATGGCCACGGCTTGTGTACTGGTGGCTGTCTTGCGTGAGGCGCTGCCTGGTGTTTGACTGGCTGGTCATCGTGTGCTGGCGGCGTGGCCACGGGGCTGACCCTCTGTTTACGGCGTCGGCATACGGTTGGGCCAGGGGCTCCTCCCCTGGCGCCGTCGGAGCCTCTCGCCGCGGTGGGGCCGCGCGGAGGCCCGAGCGGGGCGGGCGCGAGGTGCGCCCGGCGCCCGCCCCGCTGCGATCTTCGGCTCGCCCCGCGTCGGTCGGACGGCGTGCGGCGGGTCAAGCGGTGCGCAGAGACAGGGAGGGAAACACACATATATATATATATATATATATAGAGAGACACATATATATATATATATATATATATATATATATATATACATAAAAGAGAGAAGAAGGAGAGAGAGAGAGAGAGAAAACAATAAAGATATAACAAACAAACGGAGCGATAGAGAGAGAGAGAGAGGGAGCGATAGAGAGAGAGAGAGAGACAGAGTGAGAGAGAGAGAGAGAAAGAACACATAAAGAAAAGAAGAGGAGGAAAGAGGAATACAAGGAGGAGGAGGAGGAGGATCAACGCCCCAAG